CTCCCTCGCGAATCGTTCCTCCCAAGTGGCAAGTTTTGCGGATCCGGCCTCTTCCTTCTCAAGAGAGTTGAGGCTCTCTATTAGTCTGCGAGTGCAGTTACGAAGACCTTGCGGTTAGTCCCCAGAACGGTTGTAATGCTCCGGCAGGGCAATGTCAATGCCCTGTGGTGGTTGCAGCTCCACCCGGTACCTCGCCCCGACCTCCCCTGCGGACAGTGTTGCTTGACTTAGTGCAAGCAGCCTAGGTCCATCCCAAACGGCCAGGCCGCCCCTCAATGGCGTGGCGTGTGGTTAGAGAGGGTCATTAAGACTAGAAGAGCAACTTTCGGCCCATATCGGCGCCCCGGGCTTTTTAGGAATTCAACGCGAGGCGCAATTCGAACCCTCCGGCTAGAGCTCATTGTCGAAGCTGGTTCCGGATGTCGAGTATCATATTGATACCTTGATCCTTTAACCTGGTGCCCTACTTATGAGGGGCAGGTCGCACTTGGACATTTCCCTACGGGGTAGAGGTCCTGGGGTCGTGGTGCATGCATCACTCTCCCCCTCACGTTGCGACCTGAGACTAGAAAAAGGAGGAAGGCTCAATCTTTTGCTATTTCCATGGTCGACTCAGCGACCCCTTTTCAATTTACCTAGGGTCCCCCGGTTATGCAATGCAATATCCAATTCTCAGGCAAATGCTCAATCCAATGTTTTTTCCAATTCTTCTTAAGGCTGATTCTCATGGCTGGTCCGACAGCCTCTTCTCAACAAGGCCATCTCTTTGGCGGCCTCTTTTCAATAGGCCACTTCTCACGACCGCCCCATCGGCCCATCTTTTACTTCTCAGTTTTCACTTTTTCACTAGCCATTTATTATGATCGTCCCATCGGCCCATGTCCTTCTCGACTCAATGCCCACCTTCTTTTATCCTGCCCTTCAATTTTTCCCTTCTCAATCTCTTTTTAAGGCTATTTCAATGACCGTCCCGTCGGCCTCTTCCCTTCACACCCATCCTTTTCATCCTTTCTTATGACTATTTCAATCACCGACCTGACAACCTTTTCCCTTCTCACATGTTTCTCTTCCATCCTTCCTCATGGCTATTTCAATGACCGACCCACCGGCCTTCTCCATTTCACATCTTTCTCTTTCGTCCTTTCCCATGGCTATTTCAACGACCGACCCACCGGCCTTTTCCATTTCACATATTTCTCTTTCATCCTTTCTAATGGCTATTTCAATGACCGACCCACCAGCCTTTTCCATTTCACATTGCTCATTCGAGCTCATTCTCAATCAACCTTTCCCAAGCAGTCATGCGGGGGGACCCCAGTGCCTATTTCAAAAGAAATAACCCTTGTTAGGGGCCATTTCCGAACGGCCTGGTTAGGGTCATTCTTTCCCATTCTGAAATTGAACAGCCTGGTTAGGGTCGTCCCTTCCCATTCTCAAGTCGAACAACCTGGTTATGGCCATTCCTTTCCATTTTCAAATGCAAGCGCCCGAGGGGGTGGGCTTTTGAGGACACGGATCCGATCTTTTATTAGGGGGGGTTAGAAGGTGGTCATCCTTTACAGTTTTCCGCATGCGGTACTCTTCTTACACTTTGCTGGTCCTCACGATTTCATGCAACTTAGCGTCTGGCACTCAAGCGGAGGCTTCCATCCTCCGACAGGACTGGCCCGCCCGGTCGTGCAATCATGGCTCCAAATGCGGGTCCTCTCGTTCTTTCCATTCTTGCTCACTTTCACAACTTTTGACCTTTGCGACATGACCTTGACTTAGTTGTGTTAGGCTCCTAGGGGAGGGCAGTCTCATGCCGCTCTACCCATAGGTTCCCTAACCTCTCTTGCACTCGATTGACACTCAATGCTTATACGCATGGCCAGAAAGAAAAAAACTCGTAGTCTTATTGGAAATACAACTTGCTCCACCAAAAGTTCTCAACCCACTAATCTCAAGTCGAAAGTGGCTCACACAAGAGGTTGCTCAGCCCACCCATCCCAACTAATCTCATGTTCATGTTTCTTGGCAAAATTTCAAGTCAAGAAGTGACTCAAAGAAAAAGTTGCTCAGCCTACCACTTTCCCCACCTACTTATGCTAAGTCTCAGTCGCCTTTCCATGCAAAAGTCTCATTTACTTGTAACCAGGCTACTAGCCCTTTTGTTTCAGCCCACTTGCCCTAATCCCTATTATTAGGGTCAATCCTTTGTCGTTTAGCCCCCCTCTCATTATTGCCTCTCGGGGATGCTTCGACGCCTAGGCCATAAGTCCGAATTTCGTCCAATTTCCTCATGATCAGCCGTAGCTCTCCTTCGTTGAAAAAGTCTAGCGGTGTGACTTTTTCCCCTACTGCCATCAATCCTAGCCTTGATGATCCATTCATGCTTGGTCACACTGGCCCATTGCTCGAACCAGTGGTTGGGCGTGGGTCCGAATTCTTCTTCCCACCTGGAGGTTCCTTCCCTTGGTCTGCTTGTTCAAGGTTGCCCCTCAGCCCTAGGCCTTGAGATCTCATCCGTTTTATCGCCACTGCTGATGGCAATGACTTCCCATACATCGTCTTCACTCTCTCTTTCTTCTTCCCTCACCGGATTGAATTCACCCGTAAAGTTCCTAAGGTTCAGGCTATAGGGAATGTCTCCTCTCATCCCATTCCCTTCTTCAGAGTCCGCAAGTGTCCTCTCATAACTGTTATGCCCACCCTGTTCAGCATGCCTGCTTTCTCTTTCTCGCCCCTCTTCCTCACAACTGCCCCGCATGCTTTGCCTTTCCTCTTTCCCTCTCTCCTCATTGCCAGACAGATTTTCTCTCCCCCTACCCCCTCTTTCGTTGTCGTCTCGCATACTTGGCCTCTCTTCTTCCCTTCTTTCCCCCGTTTCTTGCTCCTCCCTCTCTTCTTCGGATAAGGGCTGCAATTTTTCGCCTTCCTTAAGGGGCGAGGGTTTGCAGGCCAACAACTTTCTCTTTCTCCTTCCTAACGTCCGTCTTGGTTGTGGTCCAATAAACAACACCAGTCTTTGCCTATCTTGTGACCTCTCGGTTTTTTGCCATTCATCTTCAAAAGCTACGTTGCGCGGTTGACACCGTTCTCGTTATTGTGTTACATCTTGCTTCGTGCTTTCCCTATGCCTGTCATCACAAGGAAAAACGGAAGTCCACATTCCCAAGGCGGAGCCCCGTCCAAGCAATAGTAGAGACCCAAGTCTCATTCCCTTATGATGCCGGAGTTGCCCAGACTTCGAAGGATGCACCCCTTTGCCCAGTTTCTGGCCATGCTCACCCATATAACGAATCATGCACCCCTTTGCCTCATTTCGGATCCCATGCGTCCTTCTCGAAAGTCATGATTGGTCGTCCCAGGCAGCCACCTCAATACCATCCATCCCTCACAACACTTATGGTACAATGTCCCACGTACTCATGCCCGTATCACCCCTTGCCAAAAACTATAGTACAATGCCCCAGTCGCATCACTTTACTCATGCAGTCCATTCCCACAAGCACAGTCAAAACCCCTCCACACAAAACAAAACACACCATAGGTAAGATTTCGACTGGCGTCTCAGTCGACCTGTTCCCCATTTTCCTTGTCCCGAGCCTCTTGCAACCACTGTTCCACCGGGTCCTGCTTAGGAATCTGACCAACCGTTGTCCTGGAAATGGTCCTTTTACCCTGGTCCCATCCAAACCTTCCAACTCGAAAGTGTTCATTCCCAGTCTCTTAGCGACCCGGTAGGGGCCCTTGAATCTTCTGCCCAGTTGTCCCGACCAAGTACTTTCTAGTGCCGAATTTCAGACTAGGATCATTTCCCCCACCTGTAGCAGTTCTTTTCTGATGTTCTTCAGCTGATCCCACCTTGCCTTGTCTTTCATCCTGCTGTCCAGGACCCTGCTAACTATTTCTTCCATTGCTTCCTCATTTTGAGCCACTTGTCGGCACCTGGCCTCAATCAGTTGTTCCGTCGTTAGGTGCGGATCGTCATCCAATTTATTTCAGGTTGGTACTAGGGCTTCCACCGGGAAATCAATTTCCCTCTCATACCATAATTCGGTCGGAATACATCTTGTGGTCCTTTTCGGGGTCACATTTTCTGCGAACACTGCTTGCTTAGGGTACTTCGGTCAGTTCCCAAGGTCGTCAGCAGCTAACTTTGCAATCGTGTTCTTAAGTGTTCGATGCCCTCTTTCCACGGGTGCATTTGCCTCCGGGTGATATGACTCAATTAACTTGATGGGCACCCCGAGTCTCTTGCATGTACTCAACACGTCCTGATTCACGAATTTTGTCCATTATTAGCTATAAATCTTCTGATAAATGGATGCCTTAGGTAAAAGTCCTCAATCCATTTCGCTACTGGCAGTCCCGTTTTTTTTTTAAGAGCTATCGCCTCCACAAACCCACAAAGATTATCTCTGGCGTCAAGTATGTACCTTTACCCTTTTGCAAACACCGGCATAATGTCCTGATCCTAGCACCCGCGTTGGTCTCAAAGGTTCAAAAACTCGAGTCGTACTTCGCTCTTGACAAATCAAGCAGGTTTGGCAATACGTGGCGACCATATTCCCCATTCCAGGCCAAAAGTCCCTTTCGAGGAGCGATGTCCCCCTGCCAACCCGTCATGCATCGCCTGAACTATGTCAACCTGCTTTGATCGTTCACATACCACCCTTCTAGGCATTAAGCCTTCCTCCTTCCTGAATAGGTGTCCGTTTCTTAGTACGTACTTATTGGCTTCCTTTCTGGCCTCGAGCCTCCTTGTTTCCTACTAGCAACAGTCCAATTTCCTTAAAGATCCCACTGTACGACTGAATAAGGAAAAACTCCTTCTGATCCCGGCGATCCTCCTGTCCACTATGTACTTGGTTTACTAGGTACTATCGCCGCTTTTAGTCCCAGGATTCAACTAGGCTCATAACCGCTTCCCGTCCTCCTTCTACATCCAGGTCATCAGTTCTTTCTGAGGCCCCACAATGTCACCCCACGAATCCTTCTCTTCCTTTCGACCGGACCTTGTAAGTGCTCCTTCCCCGAGTTCCACCACGACTGTCAAAGATCCTTTCTCCAGCGCCTTGATCAACAATTCCTTGGATGTGCAGGCAGGCCCTATCTTCTCGTTATCTACCACAAGGGTCCCCCCCTCATAGTCGAGGAATGCATCGATAGGTTCCATATCCTCTACCCCCGCTCGCGTAATGCACACTCCGCTCAGGCCATCGGCCCTATTCCTAAGTCCGGCTATGCGCTCGATCTTGTAATCAAACTGCCAAATGAACCCCACCCATCTTCCCACGGTAGGGTCTATAGGCTTGTAATTCTTCAGAGCCCCTGCAACGTTTGTCGGGTTTATCCTTAGGATGAACCTTCTTCCAAAGAGGTAGGTTTGGAAGGTCTTGAGGCAATGCAGAACAGCCAGTACTTCCTTCTTGAACTGAGAGTAGCGACGCTCCGCTGAGTTCAACGTTCTACTCTCGAATCTGACTGGTCGTTCCTTCCCGTCTTCCACTCTTTGGATCAGGACTCCTCCCACGGCCAGTGGTCCCCCATCGGTCTCAAGCACAAATGGACGCCCTACCTCATCGTTGAAACATGGAGCGGCAAGGGTGACTTCTTCCGACGTCAGGATGTCTTTCAAGGTCTGGACGGCGACTTCTCTTTCCTCCGTCCAATCGAGCGAGCCCTCTTCGTGGATCATGGCCCGAATGGGCTCTGCTATCTTTGTGAATCCTTTGATAAAGATTCTCCAGAACACCACGACCCTAGGAAGGCCCTTACCTCTGTTGTGGTTTGCAAGGGTGTCAGTCATTGAGAGATCTTGTCAGTCTTGGCCGGGTCGGGTTTTCTTCCATATGACCCGCAACGGAATCCTCGCATGGTTACTTCCGGCACTGCCAGGATGCTCTTGGGGCCACTGACAGTGATATTGTACTCCAAAAACCTGCCGAGAAGTTGTTTAATATCCTGCAGGTGGTCCCACACAAACTTCCATATTCCTGGCTGAATTTTCGTTTCATCCTCGTCTCGTGCGCCTTTAATTGGATCGTCGTCAATGTAGAGTTCGCATTTTGTGGGGAACATATCTCCCGCAACTGCGAGCATCCTTCTTTGTGCTTCCACCACAACGTTGGTGCAGCCCATAAGAGTCACTTGCATTTGCAATTGCCCTACCGGGGTATGCATAGCCGTGTAGGGTCTATCCCGGGCGTCCAACGGGTCTGCGTCACCCGGGCTAGCATTACCATTAATGCGTTCTCTACTCTTTCGATTTTCCTGTCTACCCCATGGACACGCTCATGCATACTTTCTATCCCTCTTTACCTTGTCGCCCGTCTTACCGGTTAAATCTATGACCTCTCCTTCCTTCAGCAGGGCTAATGAGTCAGTTACAACCATCTTTTCCGCAATATCCGTTATGGTACTAAAGTCGACGTCCCTTGTATTCAAAAACTTTGTGGTTTGTTGGTAGGATGACAGGATCTTATCCTTATCAAATTCGGTGAATTGCCTGAGGAAGTACTTGCTCATTGCTGCGAGAGTGAATTCTCTCAGGAAATCATCTCGGGCCTCCTTCCAGGATCCGCTAGAGGCGGCGATAGCCATTATATCCCTTCCCAGGTTTAGCGAGACATGCTGCCCTAGGTGCTCCATCTTCTCCTCCTCACTCCACCCTAGTAGTGCTGCCAAGTTCTCGTAATCTATCAAGAATTTCGTGATGTTTGCCCCATCAAATGTCAGTTTCTTCTTGGCATTCCCCGACCTTGGTTTGTTCCCTGATTTTCATTCATCCTTTCTTCGGCGAAGTCCCCTTCGCCTTCATTCATCATCTCTTCCAAAAGTTTTGCCTTATACTCCGTTGTTCTTCTTTCTATTTCGGCTAGTTTCCTCCGGGTGTCTGCTAGTCTTACCTTCCTTGACGGCGCGCCCTCAGATGCTCGTGGCGCCGGACTGCCTTCATTCTTATCCCTTTTAGTTTCCCGAGTTCCTTGTTTACTCCCTCTGACTTTTCCGGAGCTTTCCCCGGTTGTCACTTCCTTTCTTCCCTCCTTAGTCCCTTTTGGATTTGCCGACTCTCGGTCCCTCACGGATCCCTCGTTCTGTTCTACGTCCTTTTTCGTGCCCCGATTCCCCTTGCTTCGCAGGCTCCCCGCTTCTTCCTCTGTTGCCATACTTTTTCTAATCCTGCACATAGGAATTTTTTCTTTTCGAAATGGCCGATTGTTCACAACTCTCCAGGATTTCCAGACCCTAAGGTTTGCTATAGTCTCCTGTCTTTGCCATTTCCATATTTTCTGTCTTATAGTGGCTGAAGCAGGCTTATCCGCCTTTCCTTACTTTGCAGGATACCGCTTGCTTTTCCTGTCGGAGAGCCTGCTGCCAGGATTCGGTGTTTGTCACCACCGCGCCTCGACCCTAAGGTGGTGTGCCCATGGCGGGTGGGAACTCCTTTCACCTTTTACCTTCCCAGCCTTTGGGATTCCCCCTAGCGTCCTTGGTGGTAGTGGCCATCCTAGTCCCTTCCTGGCACGCCCTTGGATAGAGTAGGACTCCAGCCACTATTCTCCGCAGGTCGCAATTCTCGCTTTTTTTCAAATCATTCCATTGCTAGGCTTCACCTTTGCCACCTTCCCCGGTATTTTTCTCACACCGGTTCCTCGGGCCCGTCCTGTTCGTCAGGTCCTTCAAACAGGTTAGCCAACCCCGCAAGGTAATTTTCTCCCATTCCTATTTCTCTGATAATTATTGGCTCGTATTCTTCAAAAGCCAAAAGTGGCGCCCCGAATATCAGGATCTCGATGAGTTCTAATAATTCACGGGCCCGGTTCCCCCAAAACGGCTCGTGTCTTACCGACACATCGTAAAACATTCCCGTTGTCTGCGGCTGAAAATGGTGAATCCAGGTTAAGGTTGAGTTCACCAATTCCCTCGCCCTCGAGAGGCTGCCGAATACCAAGTTTATCATAAAGCGAGGTACTTGGCACCGCAATCCTGCCATTGGGGCTCTAAACTCTCGCCATCCCCCTACTTCCACCCAGGTTCTTAGCCCCACATTTCTTCTCCCCCGAACTTCCTGGCCTATCCGGTTTAGTGCCCTGGCCGCCCTTCGAAAGATTGGCAGTAGCCCATGCCCTAACGCCATTTCGGTACCTAACATGTGTCATCCCATTTCCGCTAAATACACGGTCCCGGTCACCCTCAGGTCGGTGTATAAATCGTCTCCTGGCCCCCTGTTGAATCTCATACCACTCCACAGACACTCTACCATCATGAAGGTTTGGTCCCTCCCCAAGTTCACAGCTCTCCATTCCGTGTCAAGTCCTCGGACCTCGTAGCTTGCCGGGAGCGACACCTCCCATCCGTTATTGCCTTCTGTAGGTGGTCGAGGGTGCGTGGGTCGTCGCGACGCCCGGGTGCGTCTCATCGCCATCGCTGGTTGGTGGATTCCTGCATGGTCCAGACAGGAAGCGGATTCCTCTTATTCCATCCGCTCCCTTGGTCATTGCTAGCTATCCTCCTGCCCTCTCACCCCATCCTTTTCATTACCGGGTTGCTTACCCCGCTTCTTGCAGGCAAGCTCATCTCTACCCTGCCATCCAACGCTCTTGGTGGAAGAATCTCGTGAGGTTTATCTTCCCAGAGTGTCGTCCGCCGGGCCATTCTATGATGCCTCTCCTTCTAGTTTCCCTTCGTTCGACCGCTGCATCCACCGACACTCCGCGTTTTCCTAGTTTAGTCCTTTTCCCCTTTCCACGACACCGCGCTTTCTACCTAATGTCCATTAGTTCTTGACGTTGTTCCTGCTCCATACACGCACTGACCCCTTCCCTTTTTGCCAGTCGTCGATGCCCCCTTTTTGCCTACTCGCTAGTCGTTAGGCTGAACCCATAGTACCTCGAACAACAGGAACACGTCGCCTGCATATGAGGGGGTTGCTGCCACCTCGCGGCGAAGTATCGCATCCATAGATCTATCGTCCACCTCGAGCTGGTCTTCCTTAAAAATCTTCAAGATGTCGACTATTTCCCTTGCTCTATCGCCATGGAAGGGCCCCATTTCTAGCGAGATCTTGTAGTAGGCATCGGCTAGCCATGTGAAGGCTAAGTCTACTTCATCCAGGGACTCGGCCACCGCGCGGATGTGCTCGTACCCGCCGAACCAACCCGCCACGAAGTGCGGTACCCAGGTTTGGACTAGTTGATATGGCAGGCTAAGCTCCTCCCATCCTCCTATCACGGCCCGACTGCTTACCACATCCCACCCTTCGTTGGCAAAGTCATATCCCATATCACGAGTCCGGCTCGGCGTCCCTGAGGATCCACATCGGGTCCTGTCCAGATGCTAGCACTGCGCAGAACAAGTGTCAACCCTTCCTTGACAGGTACACCGTCCCGAGGGCTTTTACATTCCCTTCGACCACGTCATCCCATCCTTCTTCCTCCTTGATCGGGTTCCACACCCTTTCTATCCATAGGAATGACAGTGCAGACGCAATCTCCTCCCCTACCCAATCGCAAACCGTCCCTCTCCACTCATTTCTCGTTGGTAAGGTCGTTTCTACACCCCCTTCGAGTTGCCTTGGCATCCATCCCCTAAACATTCGCTAGCTCAGGCTTTGTTCCCTAGCCATGCCTTTCCCCTGCACAGTGCCAACCACCCATATCATTCCTTACCCTGGAACCCCCTCCCTCAGAGGTCCCAATCCTCAATCGCATCATCCCCCCTCTCATCCGAGAGATAGTCTTCTTCTTCATACTATAAATCTTTCAGCCCATCTAAAAACGTCTTCCCTATCGCCACATTCCTGTAGACTATTCCCCAATGGACGGAGCTCGGAACGAACACTTCGTCCGTGCTGAGTCAGTTTAGTAGCTCGGCTTAGTTCTTTTCCCCAATTCCCTTCGAAGGGTCCCATTTCGACCGATAGACGGAAGAAGTCCTGTCGGGCGCCTTGGTAGAGTCCGAGGTTCGTCATGGATTGGCATATGCATTCCAGCCTACTCCGAGTCCCGAAGACTGCATCTACCATGAACGGAGGCAGGACACACCTCATAGTCCTAAGCATCCGCCTCACGTTCCCCCTATCCCCAAGTTCCACCCGTACATCTACCTTTTCCATCACCATTTCGACCCGCTGACATGCCGCTCACACTACTTCCCGTTCCGCCCGCCTAAATAACTGATACGGGACTATCCCTAGTGCCAAATCTACCACCATCGCATTCTCCCCTTGGACAAGTGGATCCACCCCCAGGCTTCTACAGTCCCCCGAAATTCCAAATATGTCAGGCTCGGCGTCAGCTGCGTTAGGCTGACCTTGGTCCACAACGTCTCTATCTAAAGGAAGGCATCCCCGCCGCCCAACATCATGGTTTGGTATGCCGGCTCTAGATCTGTTCAGGTTCCTTCTTCCGGCAACACGACAGATACCCCACCTGCTACGTCTATCGGCATTTCCGGACCGCTGGAATCGGTTGGCGATGACAACCACCGCGCCATCTCGTTTTTCCAGCACCCGATTCTTGTTTTTCAAAAGAAAGCATCGATCGGCCCCTTGGGTCAGGTCAACCTACATCCTAGATGAGAATTATTTTAGACCCCTCGTCAAGGCCTCCCTAATTTCCCCTGCCCATTCCCAAATACCGTCATCCCACTGCACCCTCGGTCGGCCACCATCACCCGACATTCCTTTTCTTGGTTCCTCTCCTTCCGACTCCTACCCTTTTTCCTCCCCATCTTCTCTCACTCGTGCAGACTTGGGTAGGGGGTGGGAATAAACTAGAATCTTGGTCCCTCCCAACAGTTCCAATCTCGGACAATCATACAGAGGGAGACACAAAAAGAAAAATCCAGGCAATCTCGCACACAGGCCGGTCATCTCCTCACCGGTCTTTTCCCAAGTGGTCTCTCCACTGTTACTATCGGCAGAGTTTTATCCAGTACCTCAAGCATAGCTCAACCGTCGCGAGCGCGGTATCCAGGCTCCGGCACAGGGTGTTACCCCTCTCCATTTGCCCAAAATACCCCATCCCGTTTTGCCGCTTTCGCACACCCCCGTTGGCATCGGGAATCACCCCGCGCACCCCGGTAAGGATAAAAGTCAGTCGTCCGGGCATTCACTTCCATCGGTCCGATAAGGATCAACCTTTCCTATGTCGTACCGCGAGAAGCTACTAATCATCTCTGAGGCTCCCTCCTTGCCCCGCATGCAGTGGTCTTCCCCCGCCAGCCAACAGGCTAAGCCCCACCTGAGGAGACGTTTCGCACCCCGCCTGGGCAAGGTCACCGAGCCATGCTCGGACCGCCCGGGTGAGAATGCTACTAATCAACCGGCGCGACAAACTCTCGTCCGACAGCTCAGTGGTATGACCTCCGCACACGAAACCTGGCAAATTTCAAAGAGAGTGACGTTTCACAACCCGCACCAGCCGGTGCAAACCCACCCTTTCCTTCCGAAAGCCAGGACGCTCAATTTCCCCTCATGCAGATCACAAGTCCCAAGTGGGACACACATAGAACAAGTGCCTTTCCCTTAGTGCTCCCAGCGCTTCCTACCCATGTCTCACGGTTTTCTCGTAGGACAGCGTGTGCCACTCTCCCCTAATCTCCATACATAGTGGCCGGTTCTTTTTCGTGAGCATCTTCAAAGGTGAGCTAGTTTTTCTTGGAGTCTAGCAAATCTCTTCATTCCCTTATCTTCCATTGTCTGTCCTTTTATAGGGTAGGATTGTTCCTTCTTGATTACCGTTACGTTCATATGAGGTTCCTTCAGGCAATTTTAAGTGAAAGTGCAAGAACCCATTGGGCTCTGAAGAAGAAGAGGGAAAAGCACCCAGCCGGTCGGATCACTCCGCCGCGGGATTTTTATTGGACTTCGGCCGAAGTCCAAGCACCAACCGCCTGCCAGGTAACCGGAGCCCTCCTTTCACACGAAGAGGAAGGATCGACCTGCGACTTGCCCAAGGCTTCCCCGGACTGGCGAACACCAGCCCGAACGAAGGAGGCTAGAGCCATTCCACAAGGAGATGGCTGATCTAGTGCACATCATGCATGTTATACCTCCCAGCCTGGCCATGCCATGCGCCCAGCCACCCTCAAATCTGATTCTCTCAAGGGGTAGAGCAAACACAAGTCCTCATTCCCTTATTTTAAATTATGTACGCGTAAATGCGTTGGGCGCCCCCTTCGGAATCGCAATGGTCAATTTAACCCCTTGCCCGTCACCTCCACCATTTTTGTAGGGCCGAACCCCGGTAGACTTTCGAGCCTTTGTCGACCCTACTGAGGGTCCCACTTGGCTCAGCCCGCCCACGCTCAAGCTCAGGGTGCGGGCCGTTCGTCCCAGGGTCACCCCCACCTAGTGCTTTGAGATGGATGGGGGTGGGCCATCAAGCGAGAGAGCTTGACATTGGGGCTGTAGCTCAACCCTCTCGTTGGGTGGTAGCCTCACTGGTCAATGTCGCAAGCGTCGATTTTCAAATCCTCCTTGTGTTTTCAGGCAATTGCTCCTTCCAATACGCAGGCAGTCCAAGGGTTCTTTGAGAGTTCTTCTTCTTTTGTGCGCAGGCTAAGCGTCATCCTTAGGCCACGCACCATTTCCCTAAGCATTGCAATCCCATGGTGTCATCAGGGTGCGGCAATGCCGTCTCCCCCTCGCCGCTACGCACTCCTCGAGTCTCATACATTCCATCCGTCATTATTGGAGTAGGCCCCTTAGTCTTTTTGGGGCCTTCACACGCATGCACAAGCTACTTCACATTCCGATCAGCAAAAGTCGCACTCCTTTCTTTCATTCACACCCCAAGTCTCCCTCATGGTTCGGTTTTACACTAAGGGGCCCTGTAGCCCCTTTGCCCCCTCTTCCCTTTTCCTTTGCCGCCCGATCTCTCCCGGCCCTGCCCCGTTGAAGGCATTCCAAGCCTTTACTTACCTGCACAATCTCACACAAAAGCAAAAACCGATACAATCCCCGATTGAGGTCAACACATAGCCCTTCCCGCAGGCCTAACTCTCCTTTGATGCTTTTTGTCTTGTCCTGTTCTTTTTACCAAGCACAGCCAAGCTCTCTCCTTTTTTATAGTCATGCAGTCCGGGTTCTGGTTGAGTCAACTGACCTCTTTTTCAATCAACAATCCCTCCCTCTAGTCTTCTTTCGACTAGTCCACTTTCCGATTTCACTGCGTTTCCACGCTCACCGCTCTCAAATATTCCCTCTCTTTTCCTTCTCGGTGGCACAAGGGACTGGCTGTATTTCCCTTGCCCTCTTTCTCCACCAAGTGAGGTGAACGTTCTTTCACCGTTCGTCCCCTGGCAATGTAACAAGCGAGGGGGAAAGGTTAGTTGCATGCCAAATGGGAAGAGAGAACGGTTTAGACTTAGGTTATTGGAGGGGTAGAGGGAAGAGGACCAAATGACGAAAAAAAAGAGGAACGAGAGAGAGAGAGACCCCCTAGTCCTAATCAAACCCTACCCTTTCTCGACCTACCCCCCCCCCCCCCTTACAAGATCTGAATCGGCTCATCTTTAAGTGAGAGAAGACTAAACTACTCTATCTAGTTTAGAGCAAGCACATGCACGAAGTTAGGGAAGCAACTAGGAAGGACCAGCTCATTACTAAGCGAAGAAAGACCGAACTGCAACACGGAGCCCACATCACACATGCACATGTGTCACGGTGTCGATGCAGAAACCCTGACAAGGGTATCTGCCCGGTGTTTTTAAATATCGGACGATGTCCGACTTAGTAAATGGTTAATCGGGCTTCATAACTTGATGAGATGGGTTATCTACCATAAGTCTATTCGAACTTGACTTGACTGAAAGACTAAGACTTATTAAACCTGAGGCATGACGCGTGCGGCATATGGAATCGGCGGTAAGAACCGGCAGCGTGACCAGGTTTCTTCCCATGATTGGTAACGCCGCATGGGCGTACGACTGTAAAATGTAATAATTTTATACCTATTCTAACAGCCGCGCGATTCAGGGCTTAAGTAGGTTAAGAAGAGGGATGCGTCGGGCGTGGGGCCTCGGCGCGGGAGGAATATGAAGTTTTTTTTTTTTTTTGGGCCCGCGGGGTTTGATTTCATACCAAGGGCCAAGAAAACCTGCGTCGTGGCCTACCCGGTTGGGTGACCGACGAGCCGTGGCTGTGCGGCTATTCGACGGCAGAGCCTGCAGGGCCGCAGGCAGGCACGACCTGCAAAACCACAAACAGAAGGGGTGGCCTGGGCCAAGCTCTTCTTATAGAAGAGCAACTCCAATCACTATCGAAGGGGTGGTCTGGGCCTAGGTCATGTCGCCAGACTTTCGTCCAGTTGATACCAGGGTCGAGCCTGACTGCCTGCATCCTATCGAGCTAGCTCCTTTTGGAGCAGCCCAAGGCAGTTGGGCGCGGCCGATTTCAGCCGCGCGATCCTCAAGATCGCGCGGCTGAGATCTGTCGTGCGCAAATCTGCATAGCACCTGCGCAAGGATGACACACATAAATTGAGGAAACTTTCGAGTCCCTCAGGACTCGAACTCAGGTCTGTGTTTCAACTGCTCGTGGGTATACCACGAAGCGATGTGACCGTTGGAAAAGCCAACGGGTTTTCAAAAAAAAAAAAAAAAAAAAAAAAAAAACTAAAACTGAATTAACCGTGAAGCGACAGATGTCGCATTCGAAAATGACTGGGGCTTTTTAACCCCAATGCACTGAAAACGGGCGACTGTTTTTCTGCAGCCAGGTAAGCTTTGTTTTTCTTTTTCTTTTTATTTCACGTTTCTTCTTTTAGATTTTCTTAGATTTTCTTTATTTTTTTTTATTTTTTTTTTTTAGATTTCATTTTTTGTCTGGGGTACCCGTTCGTTTTGACAAACGAGTGCTACTGTGGGAAATATGAAGTCGAATGTATCTGCTGCTAAAACGGGGAAAAATACTACTACTATTACTACTACTACTATTACTACTACTACTACTACTACTACTACTACTTCTACTACTACGAGGGAGAGGAGTCCCCAGACGTGTGCCCCCTCGTTTTTTTCTGAGGGCCGAGTTTTGCGCCCATTCGTTTGATGAATGGGCTGCAGAACGACGCTTGTACCCGACGCGGTTTGCATCCGGGTACGGGCGCTTGGGGCAAGGGGGCTAAGCCCCTGTTGAGCTTGACTCTAGTTCGACTAAGTGAAATGATAGTGTGGGGGAGGCTGCTCGTTTTTGTAAGAACGAGCCGCCCCCTGCCCAAGGAAGAAGGGAAAAAGCAAGTCACAGCCACGTATGTGGCCGCGGGTTCAGGAAAAATATAGGGGGTAGAAAAAAGAATGAGGAAAGGGAAAAAGTGACGGCTGCGAATGTGGCCGCGGCCGTGAAACAGGTGCAGCTCCAGAAGCTTCTAGGGGCTGATGGGACTGCGCCTGTTCGTTTTGAACAGTCAGCCGTAAATGGCTTGATACAACCACTTCGAGGCTGCGCCTGGCCTGGGGAAGTGGCCAGGTGCATAGCCAAGGCTAGGGACTTGTAGTAGAACATCAGGATTCCCAGCCCTCGATCGAAGTTCAGATCGAGGGCTAGGCTCAGCCCCGTTTTTCCGGCTGAGCCTCAAGTGGCTGCCCACCACTCCAACCCAACTATAAAAGCAGGGCTGGCCAGCAGCATCCTCATTCAGTTGAGGTGCTGCCCACATTCTGATTGAGTGTGGAGTGGAGAGCAACATTATGCTGCAAGAGTGCTGAGGGGCAGGGAGTGAGAGGAGGAGTGGAGTGAAGGTCTGTAGTGAGAGAGGAAAGGAGAGGCTGCCATAGCCATCGGGCGGCGTGGTGCCAGCAGGAGGTGCTGCTGTTCGCAGTAGGTCCTCGGCAACTGGTGCAGGGGAGACTCTGCCCATTTTGCACGGCGGCGGCAGGTCCTCGACAAGCGGTCCAGGGGAGACTCTGCCCGTTTTGCACGGCGGCGGTAGTCATCGGCAAGTGGTGCAGGGGAGACTCTGCCCCTTTTGCACAGCGTCGGCAGCCATTTTAGAGTGACTTTGGGATGATGTTGTTCACTCGGCACGGCAACGCGGCAGCGGCACTAAGATTTTGGCAGTGGTGCGAAAGCGCTGCCGGATTTCTATGGTGGCAGCCCTGTTTTTTTTGGCAGTGGTGCGTGCGGAAGCGCTGCCGGGGGTTTTACGGCAGTGGCAGTTATATTTTGCATGGACTACTGAAAGCGGTGGCTGGACATTGGCGCAGGGGAGGTGCCGCTGAAGTGGTAGCGCGATTTGAAGCAGTGTAAACGTGGCGCCGCAATGACGCGGTGACATTGGAGGCGAGTGGCAGCGGCATTGAGACGCCGTCAAGTTGTTGAGGTGATTGTGTGTTGAGAAAGTGTCGTGGCAAGCAATCGTTCTGGGGAGTGGTGTGGATCACTTTGCTGACGACTTGTTGCAACGACCTTCTCGTCAAGCGGCGTGATTCTATACGGTCTTCTTGAGTGGGCCGGATCAAACTTCACTCGAGGTCAGTTGAATGACTCAGACTTCTTTTCACACCTGTGTGAACCCGCACTTTGCTTGACCCTGTTTGTTTCGAACGTTCAAAAGAAAAGGTAGAGGAAAGAGTGTGTGAACCATGCATGTGAAAGGTGAGGTCTGACTTGGGTATGGGGTTGTATTGGTTTTCTTTGAACTTGTTTTTTATGCATGTTGTGCAGGTAAGTAGAAGGATGCTTGAAACAAAGATTGATTATGCCTGTTGGAGAAAAGAGAAGAGGATTGTTTTTTCTTTACTTCTCAACCGCCTGCATGCCAAAATTAATTTGATGTTTTGAAAAACTTTAATTATGTGTGCATCACGGAATGAATTCAATTGGAATAAAGCAGATAAGGTCGAGCGGATTTAGCTTCCCTCTCATGATTGTCTTTTTCTATCTCGAATGACCTTATCTACCTATAACTGTCCAAATGGTTCTCGTTGTTTATCTCCCTCAGTTTTCTTTCATCAAGTTACCCAAAACTTATGAGTAATAAGAATAAAAGAAACCTACTCATGGCGAACACAGTCTTTCTCTCTAGGAAGCATCCGAGGCGGGGGTTCGTATGCTTTCGGAGCCATCCCTGTCATCGACTTGGAGTGGACCCGATTCGTTGGGGGTGGTACTTTGCCGACTCGGTGGTGACGGCCCAACCTCTGAGATCCGAGTCTTCGGCCTCGGGTGAGGGAAAGGAGTATCCACAGACCACTTCCTAGAGGGTTAGAGAAATGTAAGCCAACCGTCGAGGAGTCCTGGATGACGTGAGGGGTTAATTTATATTTTTGCGGGTGGTTACCTTAGGTTTCACCGTTAAAATAAAAAGTTGGAGACATAAGATTCGGGCTCAGGCGAGGGAAAGGAGTATCCACAGACCACTTCCTAGAGGGTTAGAGAAATGTAAGCCAACCGTCGAGGAGTCCTGGATGACGTGAGGGGTTAATTTATATTTTTGCGGGAGGATACTCCATTTTGCAAGAAGAAGTAGGTAATGAAGGTGATGGTTCTCTTTGTGCAGCGATATCGACTGTGGTTTTGTTTTGAATGACCAATTGATGTACATGGATACTTCATCATTCGTGGAACAGAAAGAGTAATTATTGCCCAGGAGGACAAAGCGACCAACAAAATTTTTATTCGTTATACTTTCCTCCAAGCAAGTTGCATATGGTACAGAGGTGTGGTCGAACCGAGAGTTCAAACTCCGGCCAGGAACCAGATCACTTGTTGACCTGCATGGTAGCAGTGGAATTTACTTGCAGGAGTCATTCCTGGCAGGGTTTAATAGGTGTCGACAGACCCAACCGTAAGTTATAGGATAGGTTGTTCTTCTAAATCTTTCGTCAATATCGAGTCTCCGCCTTTATTTATTTACCTTGTGGTCAGAGAGTTATAAAGGGACTAGGATTATATTGTGGGTTTCACGTTTGGTTGAGACCGTCCTAGTCGACCGACGTTCGTGTGTACCTAAGAGATCAGCGCCCTAGGGGACGGACAACGTTTGGGTCCACTTGGCGTTAGCCAAGCGTACCTATACTCCAGCGAGCGAGCAAACGCCCTCGGCTGACCTACCTCTGCAATTGCACGTAAAAGCCTTCGCACGTGGGTCAGTAGCTCGGTAGGGATACGCCCCTCAAGGTGGTGACAGCCCCTTAGGGAAGGTAAGATGTGCCC